CTGCCATCCCACCACTAAACCATGTCCCTAAGCACCTCATCTATTCTTCAGTGTTCTTATACACACTCAAAATATTTTTGTTTACCTATGTAAGTAAGCAAACAATTAATTGAAGCAACGAGACTGAGGACAAATAGGAGCTAAAAGTAATATAGGAAGTGTCTTTTCACTTTATCACTGGCTTTTCAGAAATAGTTATGCCGGATAGCTTGTAAAAGAAATGCAAAGGAATTGGAGTTGCATTTTTCTTTTACGAATTGAATTGGATGCTAAAATGCTGTAATATGATGATACTGACACATTCTCCTCTTTTACCCGACAGTGATAAGGTTCTGTATTTCTGGAGAGAGACAGTAACTAGTAACAGCAGAAAATGTGGATGTCATGCAAGATTTTAGATTACTGTCTCCTATTTTTATTTTATTTTCAAGTATACTGTCATGAATGGATGCTGTTAAGGTCTTGGTTTAATTAATTAAATAATTTTTGAGTTTTGTCTTATAGGAATAAGTTATGATTACTCACTTACTAATATGATACAGGCCACATAAAAAGACTACTATTTTTAGCATTGTTTTGGAAAACAGTAGTTATCTGTGCCTTGCTATTTCAGACATATTTATTTACCATAAATTTAATTTCTTTAGTGTTATCAAGCTTTCATTGAGAGTATTTACCATTAGGAATTGTTATTATAATTACATAATTATTATAAATATAGTTACATAGGTGCTTGGTGATATTCATACATGATGTCTTTTATTTCTTTCGTTTACAGCAAATTAAGACGTGGAGATCAGTTTACAGATACACAATTTCTGGATTCCCCAGTCTATAAAGTAAAAAATAAAAGAAGTTTTAAAAGTAAATCAAAATTAATTTGAAGAAGACAAGAGAATTGCCTTTATGAACTTCTAAAATGGGTACAATTTTAAATATATATAAATATATATGTTTAGCAGTATAGACAGCTTATTGTTCTTTGATTAGTAAAGGACTTCCAAAGTGGAATTCCCTGGAAAGGAGCCCCTGTATAAGGGACACAGAATACTGAGGAAGGCAAATACAGGTTAGGCTCCACTCTTGTGTTTTGCATTTCTGGTCAGCAGTTTATAATCTGTTCAAAGGGTTTGCAGCACTTCTTAATTTGTAAGAAAAGTGTACGTTTTACTGAGAATTAAAAATAAATCACCTTTGGGAATCTTAATGTGAGTTGTTCATATTTACCATGAGTAGAACCATTTCTCAGTGCTGGTTGGAACAGACACAAGCATCCCAATTTTTAATACGTCTACTGAAATAGATGGAGACTGTCCCTTTTTTTTTTTTTGATAGTTGACTTTTGGATTTGACAGAAACATAGTTAAATTTGAATGAGGAAGTCTCATTTTGAGGAACAGTAGAGAGAAATCTAGTGTCCAGAGTATGTGCCAGAGGCAGCCGAAAAGAAAATAGCACTACAGTAGAAATGCAATGGTAAATAGGATCCAGAAAAAGCAACGCCTTGAGTTTCCAATTGAAATAGTGCTAGTGTGACAACTAATACAACCACATCATACCATTCAGGTATCAGGTTTTTGTACTGCTTCCTCTCTGGATTCTCATTAGTCGCTTCTGCATTCCATAATGCGCTGTCAGCTGGCAGTTTCCTGGCATTATCTGAATCGTAGGTGCTGCCAGCTGCAGGCTATCGCTCACAGGCCGCACAACTTTTACAGATTATATTGGATAAAGTTCAGGTTCATTTTGCAACCAAGATAGCCATAGCTCATTTTTAATGAGATAGATACAAACAAGTTAACTTCTTTGGGTTATAGGAGGTGGTTCTTCACACAGTATGCAGTTATGCTGAGGAATTCCTTACTACAGGAGTAGATGTTATTAGTTTACATGGGTTTAAAAAATGATTGGACAAATTATTGAAGAAAAATCTATGAGGAATTACCAAAACCACCATTTCTGGCACAGGATGTCCCTGAACTGCAAATTGTTGAAGGCTGGAAGAGTGTTCTGGAGAACCCCTACTATGCATTTGACCAATGTTTATACTTTTTCCAAGGACATGCACTATTGAAACCTTCAGAGACCAGCTCTTTGGTTAGCTAGACCTTTGGTCTGATACTGTTTAAGAGGTGTAACTGGTACTCTTAAATTTATAATATATTCTTAAAAATACTCAACTAATCTGTACTTCAGCTAATCTTTGTACTTCATTGTAGCTTCCATTGTAACCTGGGAAGGTGATGGAGAAAAGTAGTCCTGAAAACTGTTTCCATAAGAAGGTTGATTGGGAGTAGTCGGCATTGATTTACGAAGGGGAAATCATGCTTTATTAACCTGGTAGCCTTCTACAATGAGACAACTAGCTTGGTGGGTGAGGGGAGAGCAGTAGCTATTGTTTATCTCAACTTTAGTGAGGCTTTTGACATTATCTCTGATAACATCCCACAGATAAGCTGGTGAAGTATGTTAAGTGCACAGTGAGGTGGGTTGAAATTGGCTGAACCATCAGTCCCAGAGGGTTGTGATCAGCAGCGTACAGTCCAGTTGGAGGCAAAACACTAGAGCTCCCTAGGGTTTCATACTGGGGCCAGTACTGTTTAACATCTTCATTAATGACCTGTATGATGGGACAGAGTGCAGCCTGCACAAATTTTCAGTTGACACAAAACTGGGAGGAGTGGCTGAAACACTGGATGGTTTTGCTGCCATTCAGAGGGACCCAGACAGGCTGGAGAAATGGGCCAAGAGGAATCTCAGGATGTTCAACAAAGAGAACCTACGTCCTTCTCCTGTGAGTTGCCAGAATTTCAGCTATGTATTTTGACAGAAAAATGAGTCATACATATTAAAATGTACTCCTGGATATAGCCTTCATATGTGTCTATCCTAATCTAAGTCTTGAACTATAACCATAAACACTAAGAGGCACAAAAGTGTTATTTACATATATTTAAGTAATACCACAACTGTTTTCTGTTGTTTTTTTTTTTTTTATGATGGTCTGTAGCCCCAAGGCAGCTTCCCCAAGATCCCATAGAACATTCCATGGATGAATTTGGAGTTAAATATGCCACTAGTGAAGTAGTTTACATAGGGGACCTTCATCCCCTAAACAGTGAGCTTGTCTAGCTGTGGTTGCCAGTTCCAGAGACCATACAAAGACTGTGAATGTACAGCCATAAGGACAGCAAGATATTTTCTTATAGAACCACAACAGAAAAAAAAAAGCATTCCATCTATATGAAAATTCATCCAATACAAAACTTACCTTATCACCAAGGCAATGTGATCTCTATTGCAAGACAGAGCTGTTAAAATTATTATCTGGGAAGTTTCAGCAAACAGACCTTTTTTTTCTGAAACTTTCTGTCACTACCTCAGCAAGACTATTATGAAGAGGTGCAGAAATGGTTGGGAAGATAGATTCTGTACTGATATTATTTTAAAAAATAATTGCATTCTTTCTTGTATTTTTTTACTAAGATTGTAATTAATTGGGTTTTTTTAATTGAAATGTTCTTGCTAGCTTCACTGTTTATCAAAATCACCAACTGCATCACTAGAAATCCAAAAGAAGTATCTGTTACAACTTGTGTTCCCTGTGCTGGCACAGCGGCAGCAAAACACAGTGGTTTTTTTAAATGGTTGTTTATTGCCCGTGGTTTGAAAGCTAGAAACATAAGCACATGCTTCATTTTCTTAGGAAAAAAAAAATCTTTTTGGAGATGGTCTTAATTATCTTTTCAGTGAAGGTCCTGTTGTTCCACACAGCCTCCAGTGCTACCAGCTAGGCCGCTGCAGTGTTCCAAATAAAAGCATGTAATTTTCAATAAAAGTTATAAGGTTTTATGCCTTAGTTACTTCCATTCCTTTTAGGATAGATGTCTTTCAAAGTAACAAAGGATAAAGAGAATGACCTGAAAATGCATAGAAGTTATTTTAAGTAACTCTGAAATCACACAATTGTTGCTACTGCCCTTCTTTCCTTGTTTTCTCCATCCTTACTGGTTTTATTGCTCAAATGGATGTTCTATATACAAAGAAAATTTACTTTGTTATTTTCTAGGATGCACTTCTTTTAATTGTTCTGCAAAATGGTCATTTGCCTTACGTACTGCATAAATAACTGTTGAAACTTCATTAAATGTGCTTCTTTTGCCAGATCAGTTGATACATTAGAAGCTCTTGCCAGGAAAATGATGTAAAAACAGCTCATGATATTCCATGTGAAAATTAATCAGTAGCTGTCACAAGGATTAAGATTGTTTTGCTGAGGATAAGGTAATTTGAACTTCTTCTAGCTTCACAGTTGGTTTTTCTCATGTTTATTCAATCTAATTTTTTTTACATTTAATATTTTAGCTTACCATTAATAAAGATTTTGATTGGTTTAAAATTTGTAGG